GCTAGCTGTGCAGCAGCCCTCGCACCGCCACTTCCTGCTCCTCCCCCCCCCTAGATTTTTATTTGCAAAGGGCGGTAGGGGCGGGGCCTGCTCCCCATTCCCTCCCTGCCCCCCCCCGCCTTGCCTGCCCAGATACCGAACTTTGCAAATGCAATTTTAAAAATCCCTCCCCCTACTGCAAAATGTGCAGAGTTCGATGGAAAGCTATGTAAAAGGATGGGGCGGGGGGAGGCCGGTGTGATGGGGAGAGGTTAAGGTTAGGGCTCGCTCCGCGCTCGCATTTGCTAGAAGCCACACTTCGGTACCGGCCGAGGGAGTGAGCCCAGAGAAAAGGAAGGGAGGAAAAGAGAGGAGCAAGAGTCAGCAGGCCAGAAGCTGGGCGCAGCAAAGCGAGTGCGGGGAACCCGGGGTTAAACGGAACGACTCCTCCCTCCCCCACCTCCGCCGGAGGGAAGGGGCGGCGGGCGGCGGCGGCGGCGGCGGCGCGTGCGTCCGCGCCTGCGCCGGGCCGGGCGCGGGAGCGCGTGCGGCGGTTGGGGCCGGCGGCCGGTCTGCGTGGGCGCGCGCCCGGCCGGACCGCCTCGGACCCTTGTGGGGAGGCAGGCGCGCCGGGGTGGTGTCTCTCGCCCCGCGGCGTGCGGGCGACCGCCGCTCCCCTCCTAATTTTACTTTTTTCAAGCAATTAAGGAGGCATTTTGATGAGACGTCCCGGTCGTGGTCAGCGCCGCGGTCACCCACCGGGGGGCACTTTTGTCCCCAGCGTCTGGCCGGGCCGCGCCCCGCCTAGCGCGCATCCCTCCCCGGGGCAGCATCGCTTCGCTGGATCCGCCCCGGCCGGCCCAGGGCCTCACCCGGCGGCCTAGCCCCGGCCGGCTCCGGGCCAGCAGTGTGCCCCTGGTCCCGTTGTCGGGGCCCTCTCGGGGTGTTCCCCGCTCCCCCCATCACTTAGGTTGGCCAGCTCTGTCTGGGACAGGCTGCTGCTGACTTCAGGGACTTTAAACTCCGCTTGCTCGACCGCACCCAGAGCAAACAGTTTCCGAACCAGGTTTGGCTTAGGTTGCTCTTGAGAAACGCAGCTGCGAGCCTGAGTTATCTGAATGCTTGCGTGCTGCGTGGACTGCCTTGTAACTTTTAACTTCCTGGTTTAAAAATGTGTAAAAGCAAAGCAGAGCTGAAAATCGGGGCTCGACACGTGGGACGGGAGTCCAGTCCGCATGCGTAATACCCTGTGTGCCTTTCCTCCCCCAAGTCCGAGTGCCGCTTGGTTTTTCCGGTCTCTCGGCGGTCCCATTGGGCGCGTTGGCCCTTTGAGCCATGGGCTCCAGGTCCAGACGCGGCAGCGGTGACCACAGCTGGCCGGGCGGCCAGGCGCCACCCCCTAGGCTTTGAGGGCGGAAGAGTCCGCCCTTCGGCGGCGAAGGTGGCCGCTGCCGCCCACGCGGGCTCCCGGAGACCCGGGACCGTCGGAGCAGGTAAGAGTGCCCGGGGACTGAAGTCTGAGCGGCCGGCCCTTGCGGGCAGGCGGGGGACCCCCTTCCGCCCCGGGAAATCCTTTATTGGATTTCAGGCTAGGTCTGACCCTCAGAGGGAGGGAATGTTTTAGACGCTATGTGTGACTGTACAGCGGCTCCTGGGCGCACTAGTGGTCTGAGTGTGTTTACCCCCCGGGGCAAGCCAGGGTCTCAAGTGGGCCTGAAACAGCGGTTCTGTGGTGCTCCTCACATGGCTCTTAGGTGCGGAAAGGGAGTTAAGGACGCAGAGGCCCCTAAATTCCCGTGAGGGAGGTGGCGGGACAGGTCTGAGTGGTCTCCCATTGGAGGCACCGCCCCTCATTTGTCCTGCAGCCCTGCTCACAGGGAGGTCATAAGATGGGTGGGTCCTACTCTAAGGCCACTGTGCTGGACGGCGTGCTTAAAAACGTATTATTCCTGTTTTTAAGATTTATTTATTCACTTGAAAGGCAGTTACAGACAGAAATTTTCCATCTGCTGGTTCACCCCCCAAATGTCTCCAACAACCCGGGCTGGGCCAAGCCAAAGCAAGGAGCTTCTTCCAGGACTCCCACCTGGGTGCAGGGGCCCAGGGACTTGGGCTGTCCTCTGCTGCCTTCCCAGGCACAACAGTAGGGAGGTGGATTGGAAGTGGAGCAGCCGGGACCCGAACTGGCACCCACATGGGATGCTAGCACTGCTGGAGGTGGTTTAACCTGCTGCACCACAGTGCCAGCCCCCTTCAAAACTTCAAAAAGGGTTTTAGTGAGGATGACGCTAACCCGTGGTAGGCTCTGGACAACTGAATGTCCTTCTTTTAATGTTGGTTGGTGAGGCCAATGCTGTGGTATAGTGGGTTAAGCCTGTGGTGCGGGGGCATTCCATGTGGGCGCCAGTTTGAATCCCTGCTGCTCCTCTTCTAGTCCAGCTCCCAGCTGATGGCCTGATAAAGCAGTGGAAGATGGCCCAAGTGCTTGGACTGCTGCCACGTGGGAGACCCAGAAGAAGCTTCTGGCTTTGGATCCGCCCAGCTCCAGCCGTTACAGCCATTTGGGGAGTGAACCAGTGAATGGAAGATCTCTATCTCTTCCTCTGTCTGTAACTACCTCTCAATTAAATAAAGCTTTTTAAAAAAAAATCATGTTGGCTGGCCCCCCAGAAGATCATTCAGTGACGGACACCACGGACACTGGAGGTGAACACTCGGTGGGAACTCACTGGGAGAGGAGACTGTCATCGTCGTGGGTGTCAGGAAAAAGGGGCCCGAGCATGAAGCCCCCAGAGCAGGTTTACTCAGAATAAAGCCTGGGAGGGGAGCACGCAGAGAGCAAGCCCCTCCCTTACAGACTAGTGGTTTACACAGTACAGAGTGGCAGGAAGGGGGTTGGGGAGAGAGAGGGAGAGCTTGGGCTGGCGCGAAAGGTCCTTTGAGATGCTGAGCTGGGGGAGAACGCTCAGGCTGACAGCTGGACTGCTAGACAGTGATATGTCCAACAGCAGGGGCAGAGCAGGGCTGGTCAGGGCAGGCTGGGGCTGCATTAGCAGCGCAGAGAACTGGGAGCCTGCTTGTTGTGCAGGTGAGAGGTCAACATGGATCTAAGACTTTTTGGTCCTTGTTTCATCCGTGAGGGCGACCAGCGCCCAAACTGAGAAAACATTCTTCAAGGCACGACATGTACCCTGGGTGGCCATTAAATAAATCATGAGTTCCTCCACATCCCTGGGTGCCCTATGACATTCTCCAAGGACAGGATGTCCTCAGAAAACTCGGGGCCCATGGGGCCAGACCCCCTGACTCTGCGAGCAGCCTACCTGGAGACCCTGCCCTTCCTCTCTTTCATGCCGGGAGGATGAATATAAGACCTGGGAGAAAAAAGGCCCTGAAGCCAATCCAGGGGCCTTCCAGAGGGAAAATCCCGGGTCTGGGCTGAGGACAACCCGCCTGGTCTAGCCAGAAACCATGCACCCCTCATAGCTGACCTCGAGCCGGGAGCAGCCCCACACCCGGAGAGGCCAGGGTGGGATCAAAGAACTCATCACCCGCCTGTGAGTCTTGATTGAACGTGCGACTCAATGGCACATTCCGTTGTCCCCAGTTGAGCAGCCAGGAGGTGCGGGATACCAGGCAGTCTGGGACCTATGAGCCATAAACAGCCATGGTCACACCACACCGGCAGTTCCCAACCTGTACACCCCTTGGGGATTGGCTCCACGGAAGGCCCTTTGGTTCACCTGTCTAGATTCAAAAGATGCATTCTTCTCTACGAGTGGCCCCCGTCCACCAGCCACTGTTCGCTTTTGAATGGGAGGACACTGCCAAGGGCAGGAAAACACAGCTCACCTCGACAGGGCGGCCGCAGGGATTCAAAAATTCTCCCTCTCTGTGGAAGCCCTGGCGACAGACCTTGACAAACTTCCTGCAGACTCGCTAAGCCGCAGTTCCACAGTCTGCTGATGGCCTTCCGCTGGCCACACAGGCCGCTTGCGACCAGGAAGCACGGGCCCTCCCAGCGCTGCGAGAAGAGGCAGGCTCCAAAGTGTCCTGGAAAAAGGCCCAGGTAACTAGTCAAACTGTTCAATACCTGGGATTTGGGAGCTCGCCAGGAACACGAGCCCAGGGCAGTGTGCGGCATCCCCAAGGCCAAAGGCTGCACACACGGCCTTGAGCCCCTCGGGACAGCAGGCTACGGCGGCATCGGGGTCCCTGGGTTGTCGCTGGTTGCAAGGCCTCTCTACCAGCTCCTCGTGAGGACTGCATTCTTCCCTTTCTGTCCTCACAGAGGAACATCGTCAGGCCTTCGACACCCATAAGGCTGCCACGTAGACAGCCCCAGCCCTCGGCCTCCCAGATGTGACCAAGCCCTTCAACATTTCTGTACACGGGAGAGGTAAACAAGCACTAAGGGTTCTGACACAACACTGGGACCATGGCAAAGACGGTGGCCTACCTGTCCAAGCAGAGCGACCCAGTCGCCAGCGGCTGGCCATCTTGCCTCCGGTCTCCAGCTGCCTCTGTCCTCCCTGTGCTTGAGGCTGAAAAGCTGACTCTGGGACAGAGTCCACCTACACATTCCCCGTGCGGTGATGACCACCCTGAACCATACTGAGAGTGATTAGTCACACAGCTCAGCTCTGAGCCCGGCAGAGCCCATGTCCTGCCACCTCCTTACCAGAAGAGGAGGGACCCCTCCCACCCCATCGTGACTGCGAGGAGCCCCTGGACGAGGTCTCCTTGACCCGGGCAGACTTAACCGACCAGCCACCCCCCACCCAGCTCAGGAACTCTCCACAGACAGGAGCAGCCTGGCCCATGAAGGACAACAAGTGGCCAGGTACATGGTAGTGACGGCCACCACTCCAGTGGAAAGCAGGTCCGTCCCGGGGACCTGGTCCGCCCAGAGGGCTGAACTCTGGGCTCTAGTACAGGCCCTCCACTGAGCAAGGATGAGTCAGCATCCACACAGACTCGATATGCTTTTGCCACCTTACATGCCGGTGGGGTCATTTACAAGGGGAGGGGCCTTCTCAACGCAAGGGGCAAAGAAATCAGAAACAAAGAAGAAATTTTAAAGTTCCTTAAGGCCATGTGGGATCCCACGCAAGTAGCAGTTACACACTGCTGGGGCCACCAAGCTGGGACTGACCACATTTCTAAGGGCAACGCTGTGGCCGACCAGGAAGCAAAACAAGCCGCCATGACCCCGTGTGGTTCTGCAGCCTTAGAGCTCGCTGTACACGCAAAAGATCTAAAACACTTGGGCACTCCAGAAGAAAAGTGGGCCTGGTCAGAAGGTGGCACAAAAGAACCCCATGGATGTTGGGGGCTGGCCGAGGCATGCTGGGTCATGCCCTAACATCTAGCCCAAGCTTTAGGGCAACCATGTCACCAGTTAACATACCCGGGGAAGACTGCACTCATGGCCGCTCCGACCAAAGACTTCTTTGTGCGCTGCTTATCTGCCTTAAGTGCGGCTGTAAGCGGCCAATGCCACACTTGTGCCAAGTTCAACCCTAAAAACTCTAGGACTCCAACCCCAGGAGTCCAAAGGACATGGACATCCCCTTTGAGGATGCAGTCATTGATTTCACAGAGATTAAGCCCTGTCAAGGGCTCAGGTATCTCCTGGGAATGGTTTGTGCCTTCTCGGGGTGGGTCAAGGCTTTCCCCACTCAGACTGGACGAGCCTGTCCTACGTGATACGCTTCGCCAACATAGGCTTCTCCTGACAACTGGAAGCGACAATGGCCCTGCCTTCCTTGGCCACTGCAGTTGGAACCAAACAAACTTCCCACGGCCTGGAGACGGCAGAGCTCGAGAAAGGCCGAGAGAATGAAGCAGACTCTCAAAAACATGCTAGGCAAATTATGTTTTGAAACCAATTTGTCCTGGGTCAGCCTGCTTCCATTAGCGTTGCTCAGGGTCAGGTGGACCCCCGGGCCGCAGGGTACTCACCTTTTCAGATTCTCTATGGCCGGCCTCCACCCCTGCCCTGCCTCTTCAAGGGCAGTCTGCAGGGGCTGGGTGATAGCCATCCAGAAAAAAGCCTGCAGTCCCTGGGGAGGACTGTCCCACACACTCGCAAAACCGTCTTAGAACAAGCCGCAGTCGCCCTAGGCAGCACACTCACCCATACCAACCAGGTCCCCTTGCTTTGGTCAAAGATTGGGAAAAGGAGCCCCTTAAGCCCTTACGGCACGGACCATATTCTGTTGCGCTCGTTGTTCCCACTGCTCTTAAAATTGCAGGTTTGACCCCACACGCCACCTCAACATCGAACCCCGCCTGTCCAGGGACCCCGACAACCAACCACAAAAGTTACCCCCTCCAGAGGACCCGCCCACCGACACCCTGCTCTGTCCATACACCAGAGGCTGGTCAGTCTACACACATGGAAGCTTGAGGACTGCAGCCCTGCTCCAGGCGCAAACCCGAGAGCCTCTGGTCAACGCCCGGGGAAGCCTGGAGAACTCAACAAGGGACACCTGGGACCAGGGTCCCACCGTCACCCTGCTCCGTTGGTACGAACGGTAATATTGACCTTGCTGTTGTCCACAGATTCGGCCAAGGCAGCCCCAGAGACGTGGGGCAGGCCACAAAGAGTTGTTGTAGCCATGCCCTATGTGGGAACGCTGAGTCCATTAGGAGGAGTCTGGTTTCTTACAATAGAGTGCAGAGTCAGGTTACTCTCCAGGGCACGTGGGCTTTGAGCTATTCCTCTTTGAGGTGATAAACCCCATTGCCTCAGCCACCTGGTCTCAGGGTCAAGCATCCATTAGCCTCAATTTCAATGGGTGTGAACTCCTAGACCTCGCCAAAGATAGCAGCCCCCCCCCCGCTCTTACTTGGGGGGCCCCCATACCAATTACCGCCTGGCTGACACCTACCTACCTCTGCGGTGGGCCCACCCCTACTCAGGCCAATACATGCACCCGATATTGCGCTTCCGGATGGGGTTGCGAGCCCTGGGTTGTTAAGGCCCGGTACTCGTGGGTTCCTGTGTTGGACCCCAAAACCTCGGCTCAACACCCCTATTTCCTTGTGGTGGAATGGCGGGAGGCCACCTTCAAACTGCCAGCAGAATGAACTGTCAATCTCACCCTCACTGTCCTACGGCCCAGCCTGACCTGTGGGCCTCTGGAGTCACCCGCCAGTTGGGCCAGCACCACCCCAGGCCTAATAAGAACCCCATGGTGATTTTCAAAGTGAAATCGCGATTCCTTCCCCAGGTTGTGGTCAAGGACATCAAGCCACAGGCCACCCAGGAGGGGCCCGGTAACTAGAGAGAGACCATGGCTCAGCTCAGACTCCCAAGTGGTTAACTTTACCCATGCCGCCCTAAACCAGCCCAAGCCAACCTGGGGTAGGGACTGCTGGGCCTGTATGGCCCCAGGACCCTCACAGTACCTCGGGTTAGCTGTCAGTTCATCCATAGCCCCCTCCTTGGGACAGGGCTCCACCACCGACAGGATCCTGACAGCCCAGGTCCCTATCTTTGGCAAGTCCCCTATTCTATCCAGGTCTACCAGGGTCGCCCCCAGCCGCACTGCCCTGGCCTCCTTACACAGTCTTTCCTGTGCCTTGCCAGCTAGTCAGGCTCCTGTCCGAGCTCTCTCTGACCCCAGGGTCTCAGGCCCCCCTCCTATCCACATGGACCTAAATGCATTCTGGTTACTACAATTCCCCTGGCCTTGGGGCTTCCGGCCCCTGCCAGGGCTGCTGTGGGGGGCGCCAGCACGGGGCTGTCCCAGGCTCAACACTAGCCTCTGAGGGAACAGATCACCACCGACTCCGCGGACCTCAGTCTGCCCCCCCCCCCCAATACAGATTCCTTGGCCGCCGTGGTTCTGCAGACCCGCTGTCCACGGAGGCCTCTGCCTGTTTCTCCAAGAATGCCGTTTCTATTGCAGAGACTAGAACAACCTCAGGCCAGGCGAGAGGCTGTCCCCACCTTCCTGAGTTCCCCGGTAGACCGGCTCCCCTGGCCATCACCTTTCCCCGGAGTAGGTTTAGCTTAGGTTGCTCTTGCAAAACGCAGCTGCGTGCCTAAGAGTTCTCTGTGTGCTTGCGTGCTGCAGGAACTGCCTTGTTAACTGTAACTTCCTGGTTGGAAATGTATAAATGCAAAGGAGACCGAAACGTCGGGGCTCGACGCCCGTCAAGTCCGCATACGCAATAAACTGTGCCATTCCTCTCGCCTCTGTCCCTGTCCGTCCGTCACCCCGTGTCCGCCGAGGTCACCGGCCGCGCGCGCGAGCCAGGCCGAACTACTTTTTCAGGGCGGAAGAACACCGAAGCTCCAAGGCTGGAAACTTTTTCAAGGAGGGGAAAGTCCCTTCCACTCGGGCCGGTGGAGGCTCTGATCTTTTTTCAGCAAAAACCGAGGCGAAGCACAGCGGAAACCGGGCGGGCGGGCAGCCGCCGCTCGCGACCCCTCGCCGCTTCCGGCCGCTCGGGGCAGGCGCGCCGGGGTCGGGGTCCCCGCGCGGGAGCAGGCCCGAGCGCGCGCCCCCCGGGCCGCGTTCCTCGACAGCCGCGTGGCGGAGCCGCGGGCGGGGCCCGCCCTGGGGCACGTGGCGGCGATGCTCGCCCGACCTCTGGCCTGCCGCACCCCCCACCCCGGGCTGGAAAAATCCCGGAGGGAGCGGCCAGCGATAAGGGAGGAGGGCTCGTGCTGCCGGCCGGGATGAGTCACCTGGCGCGGGCCGCGCGGCGCCGGCGGCGGGGAGCTTCGGGTCGGGGGTTGCAGCCGCCGCCCCCCGCCCCTCGCCGACCCGGAGACCCCGTTCCCTCCCGTGCTGGAACAGGCCGCCGCTCTCAGAGGGCCGCCCATCCATTCATGCGTTCGCCTGCTGACCCAACGCCATTCATTGAGGCACTGGGGCCGCGCGCCAAAGCGCCCACGGGCGGACCCGCGGCTTCCACGGGGCGACATGGGCCGGCCCGGCGCTGCTGGCCGGCGCCGCGCCAGCGCACGGGGCGCTTCTAAATTCGTCCTCGGTCCCCTCCCTCACGCCCTCGCCGGCCGGGGGAGGGCGGGAGGAGGTGGAGGCGCGAGGGGCCGCTATGAGGATCCTGAGAGGTGAGACCCTCTCGCCTTCTGGGTGGGTGGGGCTTCAGTTTTAGACCTCCCCCACCCAGGGCTGAGCCCGGCCAAACGAGCTGAGCATGTGTGGATGTCAATCCCGCAGCCCCTCTTCCAGGCCCCCTCCTCAGCCCTGCAGGGCTCAGGTTTCTCATGGCCTTTTCTAAAGGGCACTGGTTCCTCTTTAACCTTTGCAAAAGGGGAGCAGGATCCCGGAAAGGGGAAAGACCCCCCAATGTGAAGTCCCTCCCCGGCTCCTCCCAAAGGCGTGGAATTAAAAAGCAGGGAGTTTTATTGGGGGACAGAGAGAAAGGGGGTGTGTTAATCCCTGACCTTTGTGAGGGGGGCAGGTGCCCTGGGCCAAAAGGCTTCTGCTTTAGGCTATAGTGGGCACCTGGCTGCCAGCCTGGTGTGCAGGGGGGAGGATGGAGAGAGGGCGGGGCTGGCCGGGGACAGGGTGGCCCGGGGATAAATGCCCAGGCTGAGAGGGGGGTGATCTGACACTGTCCCAGCTGCCACCTAGACTCAGAGCTCCATCCAAACTCCAGCGAAGACATCCCAGGTCTGGTGAACCTTGCAGCCCCCAGCCCGAGGGTGGTGCTGGCTTGGGAGATCTCAGCATGGTTTTTTTTCCCCCTCGGGGAGCTGGCGGGGCTGGAGAGTGTGCAGGGGACAGCAGGGATGGGTAGCCAAGGGGAGTTAGGTGCAGAATCTGGAGCCCGTGGAGATGTTGGGGAGCAGGGGAATGAGAGCCAGAAAGTATCTGAGGTCTAGAGAGCGGCTGGGGCATGGGTCAGCCACCAGTGGGGAGGAAGAAGGCACAAGGGCCGCTTAGGGGAAGGCCAGGGAGCGCGGAGAGGTGCAGTGGAATCCAAGAAGTTATAAAGGAGAGGTGCCTGTTCCTTAATGGCGGGAGGGTGGAACAGGAGCTGTCCCGAGTGGGGGAGGGGGCTGCGCCAGCCTCTTTGGTCTGTGACCTTTTTGAGGGGTATTTTTAGCTCCACCACCTGCCTTCTTGGGGTGGGTTAGACTCTTAAAGGGCAAGGGATTTCTGGTTCCTCGAGGGATCAACTGTCCACGCTCGCACCTCTTGTCCTGCAGCCATGGCCATGCAGAAAATCTTCGCCCGGGAAATCCTGGACTCCAGGGGCAACCCCACGGTGGAGGTGGACCTGCACACAGCCAAGGGTAACACGGGCCCGTGAACCGGTGTGCCTCACAAGACCCCAACCGCACCTGGCCACCCCCCCTCCCTGCTTCTGGGCCACATCCTCGACTGTCTGCTCCCCCCACCCCTGCAGACTTCCTCCAGCCTGGCTTGGGGGAGCTGGGAGAGGCCGAGTCCTCTCTGCACTGTCTCCTGTCCTTGGGCACGGAGAGCGGACCGCAGCCCTTTGGGGGTGGGCGGGACTCCCGTGACCTCCTAACGCCTCCTGCCCAGGCCGATTCCGAGCAGCGGTGCCCAGCGGAGCTTCCACGGGGATCTATGAAGCTCTGGAGCTGAGAGATGGAGACAAATCCCGCTACCTGGGGAAAGGTGAGGACAGAGAGGTGCAGCAGGAGGCTGTGGGCATGGGCAGAGGCCTGGCACCCAAAGCTTTGGGAGAGCTGCGGTCCTTGGACTGAGGCCTGATTGAGCTGGGTTCTAGGTGTCCTGAAGGCTGTGGAACACATCAACAAGACCCTAGGCCCTGCTCTGCTGGAAAAGGCAAGTGGAGGAGCCTGCTCGCCCCCCGCACCCCCAGCGCCCCTGCTGCCTCCCCCCTGCAGCCCCTCTCCGCCTTCCCACACATGCCCTGACCCCTGCCCCACCCCCTGCCAATCTGCCCTTCCAGAAACTAAGCGTCGTGGATCAAGAAAAAGTGGACAAGTTTATGATTGAGCTGGATGGGACAGAGAATAAGTGTGAGTGCAGGGCCGGAGGCTGGGAGGGGAGGCACCGGTGTGGGGGGCGGGAGCCAGACCTGGCCAGCATGACTTCTGTGTCCCACTTTTCGGGGCACACCGTAGCTGGGTGGATTTGTATTCATCCCACAGGCATTTCCTGAGGCCTGCCCTCTGCCAGGCTTGCGTGGGGCTGTGGACGCAAATGTGCAACAGACACAGTCCCCGGGGTGGGGCCCCTGCAGCCAGGTCTCCGGGGAGAGATCTGTTAGAGCTGGGGACTCTTCCCGGGGTGGCTGGAGATCACCCCAATCCCTGCAAGAGACGTGCTCACCCTTTCTTCCCCACTTGCCTCCTTCCAGCCAAGTTTGGGGCCAATGCCATCCTGGGCGTGTCCTTGGCCGTGTGTAAGGCTGGAGCGGCAGAGAAGGGGGTCCCGCTTTACCGACACATCGCAGACCTCGCTGGGAACCATGACCTCGTGCTCCCAGTGCCTGTGAGTGCAGCTTCCCACTCCCAAGACCGAGCCCCCCCCCCCCCCCCCCAGTGAGGGGTGCTTAGGCAGCCCTTGGAAAATCCACCTTTCAGACTCAGCTCCAAAGAAGTGGTTTCCTGAAACCGAATCTCCCCACCCCTCCCTCTTTCCCACAATCCAAACCTTCCCTTCCCTTGCCATGCAACCCGGTTCCTTCACATTCCAATCCCAGCCTTGCTAACTCTGACCTCATTCCACCCCTGCACCCCATCCCCCAAGTGAGTGCGCCAGCTTCTTTGACATGGATCTTGACATTTCTCTGTATCTCCTTTAAAAAGAAATCGTTTTTATTTATTTGAAAGGCAGAGTGTCAGAGAGAGTTTCCATCCACTTGTTCACTCCCCTAATGGCTGCAACAGCTAACGCTGGGCCAGGCTGAAACCATGAGCCAAGAACTCCATCCAGGTCTCCCACACACAGGTCAGGGGCCCACGCACTTGGGCCATCTTCCGATGCCTTCCCAGGCCCATTAGCAGGGAACTGGATGGGAAGTGGAGCAGCCAGGACTCGAACCCACACCTTCCCGTGGGTTCCTTATTATTAAACTAATAATAAGGAGTTTAATAAGTTTAATAAGGAGTCCTTATTAAACTAATGACCTTAGTGGGGACCCCTTGAACCTGGCTTACTAGGAGGACTGTACCAGAGCATGGATGCCAGACAGACTGCCTGTTTCTTAGAGCCGTCTCAGGAAGGTTGTGTAACCTCTCTCTGTCTCAGTTTCCTTGTGGGAAAATGAGGAGTAGGAACAGTACCCGGCTGAGTGATGTTTTGAGCCGGAAATGAGCCAGTGGATGTAGAGCACTTAAAACACTGCCATAAAGTGCTGGCTGTCTCACTCACCAGGCGCATGCTAGGAGCTTCATATTCTGTTTCACTAATGCTATTATTTTACAATTTTTAAAAACATCTTTGTCACTTTTTTCCCACTAATTTTCAGCGACAGATTCTGCAGGGAGGTTATTTACTTCCTCCTTTTTTCTAGAAGTGAGGGAAGAGGCTCTGGGGAGCAAAGTTACTCACGGTAGACCACTTAGCCAGCAAGCCGGAGGCCGGGATTCCACCTCCGCCCCTCCCCCAGCCCTGGCTCAAGCCTCCGCCCCTCCCCTCCTCAGGCCTTCAACGTGATCAACGGGGGCTCCCACGCAGGCAACAAGCTGGCCATGCAGGAGTTCATGATCCTGCCCGTGGGGGCCAGCTCCTTCAGGGAGGCCATGCGCATCGGCGCCGAGGTCTACCACCACCTCAAGGGGGTCATCAAGGCCAAGTACGGGAAGGACGCCACCAATGTGGGGGACGAGGGTGGCTTCGCGCCCAACATCCTGGAGAACAATGAGGGTCAGTGCCGAGCACCCTGGGCCAGACCTCTGGGTCCCCACGGGGAGGAGCCTGAGTCTCAGGTGCTCTCGTGCCCCTCCCGCAGCCCTGGAGCTGCTGAAGACCGCCATCCAGGCGGCCGGCTACCCAGACAAGGTGGTGATCGGCATGGACGTGGCGGCCTCCGAGTTCCACCGCAACGGGAAGTACGACCTGGACTTCAAGTCGCCGGATGATCCCGCGCGGCACATCACTGGGCAGAAGCTTGGGGAGCTGTACAAGAGCTTCATCAAGAACTACCCTGGTGAGGCTCGCGGGTGTTGCAGCATCGCGCCCCCACCCTCTGCCAGTCCCGGCTCTGCCACCTGTTCTGGTCCTTCCCTTCCTCAGCCCCACAGCCATCCCCACCCGAACGCTTCTGACCTGACCCTGAGTCCGCTCCCAACCCCAACCAGTGGTCTCCATCGAGGACCCCTTTGACCAGGATGACTGGGCCACCTGGACTTCATTCCTTTCGGGGGTGGACATCCAGATCGTGGGGGATGACCTCACAGTCACTAACCCCAAGAGGATCGCCCAGGCCGTGGAGAAGAAGGCCTGCAACTGCCTGCTGCTGAAGGTCAACCAGATCGGCTCAGTGACGGAATCCATCCAGGCGTGAGTGCCGCCGCCCCGGGCCGGCTCCCCGCGCCTCCCGCCGCCCTGGGCCGGCTCCCCGCGCCTCCCGCACCTCCCACCATTCCAGGCCAGCTCCCCGCGACTCCTGCTGCTCACCCACTGCAGCTCTGCCTCGCTCCTGGCACCTGACCTGGCTTTCACTAGTCCCTTGGCCTGACTCAGGCCGTCCAGAGCCCATGCCTTTTCTCTGCCATTCTTCCCACCAGCATCTCAGAGGCCCAAACTGAAGATAAAAAAAATCTCATCTCCCACTTCCCAAAGAACTTAGGCACTGCCTTCCCTGAAAAGTGCCCTCTTATGCAGAAGAGAAAGGAGAAGGCCCACCCAGCCCCTGGTTTGCCCACTAAGGAGGGCCCACAAGGCCTCATCAAACGTTCTCTCCCTAGTTGCAAACTGGCCCAGTCTAACGGCTGGGGGGTGATGGTGAGCCACCGCTCCGGGGAGACGGAGGACACCTTCATCGCCGACCTCGTGGTGGGGCTCTGCACGGGACAGGTACTGCACCATCCCTCTCCTGGGGGACGTCGGCTTGGGATCCCAGCCTTTGTCCCAAGTGCAATTTGACTGACAGGCCGCCCCTGGGGCCAAGCCTAACCCTCCAAATCTCTTCCCTTCTTAGATCAAGACTGGCGCCCCCTGCCGCTCGGAGCGGCTGGCCAAGTACAACCAACTCATGAGGTATGTGGGAGCAGGGAGACTTGGGTACTGGGGAGCTGAGTGCCCCGGGCTGGAAGATGGCAGCTCTGACTCTGTCCACTCTAGGATCGAGGAGGCTCTTGGGGACAAGGCTGTCTTCGCTGGACGCAAGTTCCGTAACCCGAAGGCCAAGTGAGAAGCAGGAGGCCCTGGGACTCCACTGGACACACCCTGGCCTTTGAGCCTTTTCCCCTGAAATAAACACTGGTGCCAGTCACGACAGTGGTGTGCTCCTTCGTGGGAGGGAGGGAAGAGATGCTGGTGTCTGGGCTGTGACAGACAGAAGGTGGCAGGTGGGGGCAGGCACAGTCGGCAGAGAGCAGACATGTAACCTGCTGGGCTGAGGAAGCTGCGTGGAGCGACAACAGAGGAGTTCACACTTTGGAAGGAGATTGGGGGAAGCAGGTGCCACATGTGAAATGAAGCTGAAGAGGTGCAGGGTGGGGCACTGAGGGTCCCGTCATGACCAGGAGCTGGGGCACTGTGTGTGGTCAGGGCCAGCGCGTGCCGAGTGCTCTGCGAGTGATGACGAGGGCAGTGACCCCTCCAGGGAGCTCACGAGGGGCTGCAGCTGCTCTAAGTACCTGCCGTCCATGACCTGTGGAATCACACAGCGGCAGCTCTCCTCATTTTGCAGGCGAGGGAACTAAGGCATAGAAGGTGAAAAAATGTCTTACCCAAGGTAGCAGAGTTAGCAACCGGCAGAGCCAGGACTCAAAGCCAAGTCATTTGGCTCTGGCAACTGTGTTCTTAAAATACCTATCTGAGGCAGCTGCTTGGCCTAGCAGTAAGACGCTGCTCGGAATGCCTGCGTCCCGCACTGGAGTGCCAGGTTCAAGCCCTGGCTCCGCTCCGACTCCAGCTTCCTGCTGATGTGCACTCTGGGAGCCAGCAGGTGGTAGCTCAAGTACTTGGGTCCCGGCCACACGCACTGGAGACATGGGTTGGGTTTCAGGCTCCTGGCTTCAGCCTGGCCCAGCCCTGGCTACTACAGGCATTTGGGGAAATGAACCAGCAGATGAGAGATGTCTCTCTCTGCCTTTCAAATAAAATAAATAATAATAAAAAAAGTTTAAATGCTGTTTCTTATAAATCCCTATGATAAGGGCTACTAACTAGCCACCTCTGGCCTACTCTAACAACAATTTCACACTCTTCTACCTTAAAACGATTCCTCTTCCTTTCTGCCAGGAGCTCCAGGACCCACCTTTCTGAGTACAAAAAAATTAGGACGTTGGGTCAAACAGTGTTTATTGAATGTAAAGTAACCCCAGCCCCATGGGGTAGAAAATTCTAGGGAGAACAGAGAATAATACAGATTAAATACCCACCTGCACATTCACTCACTCACTCACACACACACACGCACACACACACACACACCACAGACATGCACACTCCAACAGTGACAGATTAAACACCTGCTCCCCCAAGTCCGAGCGGCAGCTGGTAGGGGGTGGTTCAGAGATGGGGCTCTAGGATGGATTCTAATAGCAGCAGCCTTGTCCTTCCCTGTCCCCCGTCCTCCCCCGGGGGTCAAAGGGAGCCGGGTGGGGTGCCTAGGAGGTGGGTGGCAACTCTTCCCCGCTCTGCCGCAGGCGCTTCTTGGCTCGGATCTCATTCATGGCCTCTTCGATGGAGCGCGTGTCCCTCTTGTTGGCCACGGGCACTGGGGGCAGGGGGAAGGATGGGAGAGCCTAGGAGCCCTGTGCCTCAGCCCCCTCCCCGCCCCCCACACCGTAGCGCTTCTCCCCGCCCTCCCCAGCCCAGCCCAGCCCAGCCCAGCCCAGCGGGGTCTCACCACAGCCATAGGTCTTGTTGGCCTGCAGCATGTGCGCTGCATCCTTGGCTGCTCCCTTGCCAATGAGGTGGCTGTACTTGTCCTTGTAGTCACTGGCGGGGTTCACCACCACGGGTCCCCGCTGAGCCGCCTCCTCCTCCTCCCGCTGGGCCAGCTCCTAGGGGTGCAGAGTGGAGCCCTGGTGCTCAGGGGCCGGACCCCAGACCTGGGCGGGAGGCTGCAGGCCTCTGGTGACCCAGGCACGGCTCACCTTCAGCCTCCGCTTCTCCTCAGCTTTCTGGGGATCCCATTCCTCCCCGCGGCGGTAGGAGTCCAGCTCTTCATCCGAGGGTGCAAACTCCTGGGGAGGAACGGAACAGAGGTTCAGAGGTCACAAACACATTTCATCTCCTTGGCCTCCCAGGGTGGGGCGGGCTGCGCAAGGAGGCGGGAGTGAGGAACCCAGGCCTTTCACCTTTTTGAAGATCATGACATAGCGACAGTCATCATCTTCCCCGAAGGAGAAGGAGGTCAGGCCGGCCACTTCCACCACGTCGTGTCTGCGAGAGGTGGCACAGGGGCAAGCGTCTGTTGGGGCCGCGGCCTCCTTTCCAGGAGCCCCTGTGGCCCTCTCGTGCCCCCCAAGAGACCCCACTTCCTGCCTCCCCACCCCGGTGACACTCACAGTATGCTCCTCTCTATCTTGTTCATTGGCTGAAACTTTTTCTTGATCTGCCCACTGTCCTGGATGAAATCTGACACCTCTTTCTCCATCTTGGGAGAGGGAAAGGGAAAGAGATGTGAGATGACGGCCCTGCCCCAGGAGCCCTGCCCCTTCCCCCGCCTCTGTGCCGCCGGCTTCCTTCCGGCCTTCACTTCAGACGCGTTCAGGACGGCGGGCCCCAGCCCTCCCATCCTCACTCCCCTCCGGCTGTTCTCACCCTTCTACGGAACTCCAGTTTCTGCTGTTTGTCTTGCTCCTGCAGTTTCTTCAGGCGGGCAGCCTGCTCTGGGGGTGAGAAATGGCAGCGTGAGGCCAGGCCTGGGAGCATTGGGGGGGGGGGGGCAGACGCCTGATGTCCTGCGGGAGGGGTCAGGCTGGGAAGGCAGGATCACCATTGACTCGCCAAGCACTTACTGATGGTTACTATGCACCGGGTGCCGCGCGAGGCCCAGGTGCACCAAGATGACTAAGACACAGCTTTGCCCTTCAAGAGCTCCCAGCTGGGGCCAGCTCATGGCGCGGTGGGTGAGCTGCCACTTGTGACGCCAGCATCCAGTTATCGGAGTCACGGCTGCTCTGCTCCCGATTCGGCTCCCTACTAGTCTGCCTGGGAAGGCAGTGGAAGATGGCCCAAAGTACTAGGGCTCCTGCCATCCAAGTGGTAGACCCGGATGGAGCTCCTCGCTTCAGCCTGGCCCAGCCCTGACCACTGTGGCCATCTGAAGAATGAACCAGCAGATGGAAGATCTCTCTCTTTCTCCCTCTCCCTTTCAAATAAATAAATCTAAAAAATAAAAATAAGATCTCACAGTTTAGTGCGAGGGACAGATATTAGATTCATGCGTAACCTATTTCAGAACCCCACCAAAGAACATCTGACACCTGCAACATGGAATGAACTCTGAGGCATGGAGACGGAAGGCAAACAGATGAAGCCCTGGCCTCAAAGGCTTTCATCATCTCACTGTGTACGTAAGAAAGGAGGAACTACTTAACTTCCCGTATTTTCCAACACCCACCCCCTACTTCTGCAGACAGGACGAAGACGAGATGGCTAAGGTGACACCCTTCTCCTGGGGGGTGTAGGGGTCCTCCACGTCAGCAAAAAGGAGCTTCCCCCCTTGGGCCTCTTAACTCTCCTCCCACCCTCCACAGGGGCCTTGGCCTCTGCGGGAGGGGTATGTCCACTCCTCCCATCCTCCCCCAGGTGACTTCACTGCCTCCTGGGGCGCTGGCACAGGCCCCTCGGGTCCTTCCTCCACAGGACCTGCCTGCACCCGGCTGCACTGACCCACTTCCTGTTTTCCCAGTCACCCCGTGCCTCCTCACTTCTTCCTCTGGGCGCCAAGCACCTGCTAAGAACTAACCGGCACTTTGCGTCTGTCTCCCCTACCTGGAAGGCGGGGTCCCTGGTCATCTCCTGTCCCTTATCCTCTGTGCCCCAAGGCCTGCTCGCCTCTGACCTCGTGACTACCAGAGCAGCCCATCCCAGCCAGCGACTGGTCTCTAACTGGTTGTCAAGTCTTTTGTTGTGCATCAGGAGAGGTGGCATTAGATTATGGTTAAGAACAAAGACGTGCCGGCCACACCTGGGTTTGTAACTCCGCCACTTCCTAGCCGTGTGACCTCTGGCAAGTGACTAAACTCTGACACGGGCACTGTCAGCTGCCTCCAGTCATCCCCACCTGAACGGTCACCTGAGCGCTCGTTTCCGGTACGCCCCTTCCTCCCTCAGAGCTTCCCCGAACTCCTATCTCCGCCTGCAACACGGCCCCCCGGAATCAACTATTCGGCTTTCCACTCCATGTAGACCAGATCAGGGCCCCCAAGTACGCTCCTATTTCGCTTTCAGGGCACGTATTAAGCTTCTGCGTGGTCACTTTCTCGAGGCGCGTCTCGGCCCCGACTGTGGGCGCCCTGAGGGCATCCCTAGCCGCCTAGCAGGCGTTCGGCGAAGAAGGCAGCAGCCAGGGATCCCTGTGAAGGCAGCCAGCCTGCCCTGGGTCCCCTTGGGGCTCGTGCACGGTCGCGCCAAGGCAGTCCTTCCGCCAGGTTCATTAGCCCGCCGAGAGGCCTCCACCGCCCGCCGGGCCGCCCAGCCGGAGCCCGCCAGGCAGAGAAGACTACGGCCGATCAGACCCGGCAGAGCAGTCCCACCCCCCAGTCGGCACCCTGGTCCGCCCGGGCAGCTAGGGAACCTAAAGCAACGGACGGGAGAAGCGCCGCAGGAGAGAGGTCCGGGGGGTGAAGAAGATACGGGGTTACAGCCAGCGGGAGGAGCAGGAAGGCAGGCGACCCAGCAGCCAGTGGGAGGTGCTGAGGGCGGGTCCAAAAGGGGCAGAGCCTTGAGTCTAGAAAGCCAATAGAAATAAAAGGATCGTGGTTGGGCGTGTCCTACATCCAATCGGAATACAGATGGAGGTGGGCGGGATGGGGACGCAGTCGAGTACAACATTCTCCAATCCAAAGAAGGGACGAGAGGGCGGAGGGGTTGGAGTCGCGCAACCAATCAGAGAACGCCATCAGCAGACAGGCGGGGCCATCTGCTAATTAGAAACAAGGACTGAAGAAGGCCTTCGCAGGGAAAAGAGGCGGGAGGCCGGAGCTAGACGTCAGACAGCCAATCATCGTCCGCTAAGAACAGTGGGCGGGTCGCAGCCCTTTTAGGGACTCTGAGGGTCTCCGAAGGGGCCTGTGAGGGGTCTTTTAGGGGTCAGCAAGCGGCGTTGTCTAAAGAGGGAAGAGTGCAGCCCTGCGAACCGGGCGAAGAAAGGCGGTTGTGAATGCGGGGGCCTCACCTCTGGCCTTGCGCCGAGTCTCCTGGTCTCCGAGGCTGGGTGGCTTCTCCATGGAGCTCAGGATGGAGCCCAGTAGGTCCGCCATCTTGGGAGTGACTGAGAAGGGGCGGTGCGTCTTAAAGGGGAAGGCGCAATGCCTTTAAGGCCGGAAACGCGTCGGCGGCGGAAAACCCGGCGCCCGCCCCGCCCCCCGTAGACAGACGCCGGAGGCTGGCTGGTGCAGCGATGTTTAATGGCAATTCGTAGAAACCAAGCCCATGCACAAGTAGAAAGTGCTCGTGGAGCCGGCAGGAGGCCCCCGCCGCGCAGCCCTCCCCGCGGCGCCTTAAATAGATTCTTCACTATACTCTGTATGTTACAGTATGTACAGGCCCCCTCCCCTCGGGGGCGGGGGGCGGGGACTCCCGCCGCGGTGCCCCACCTTTCCTCGGTCCCGGCCCTCTCCGGCCCCGGGGCGGCCCGGAAGTCGGGGGTGGTGGGGGGAGACGGGGGCCGCGGGGGGAAGGGCACGGACGCAGACATGCGGAGTCGGGGTCGGGGTGGTCGGGACCGGGGCTGGGATCGGGGCGCGCGCAGCCAGGGCGGAGGCGGGGGCCGAGGCGGATACATTCAGAGACGCGTCGAACAAATAAATAAGGCAAGTCGGGAGGGGGCCGAGTCGGGCGCAGGCAGGGGGGCGTGGAGGTCACAGCGGAGGATGCAGGCGTGTGGGGCGAGGTGGAGGCTGGAGGCCCACGGGGAGCTCCGGGAGCCGGGGAGCGGGCGAGGTGGAGGCTGGAGGCCCACGGGGGGTTCCGGGGCCGGTGGCCGAGAGGGGAGCGGGCGAGGTGGAGGCTGGAGGCCCACGGGGGGTTCCGGGGCCGGTGGCCGAGAGGGGAGCGGGCGAGGTGGAGGCTGGAGGCCCACGGGGGCTCCGGGGTCGGTGGCGGGGAGAGCTGCCGACGGGGGGTGGGGGGCTGCCCCGCTCTGGGAAGCCTCGTCCCCGCGGGGTGGTCAGGTGGCCAGTCCCGGCTGCGGAAGCCCTTCCAGCTCCTGGTTCTGCTTCAGTTCCCGCATCCTGCGGAAACACAAGGAGTCAGGGGTGCAGCGGGCCCGGGGAGGCGCAGGGCCGAACCCAGCGCGGGGCGGAGGGGCACCTGTGTCGGCAGCGCCGCAGGAACCTCATGATCTTCCGGGCTGCCTGGTCCTGCTTCTTGGTGAGGAAGGAGCCTCTGGGGGAGGGAGAGAAGAAATAAAGATGGGGACGCACAGAGCACGCGGGCAGCCCGCGCCCGGGCCCCCGGAGCCCGGCCGTACTTGCTGCGGGCAGGCAGGGCGCCCGCGGGCCGGTGGCGGTAGGAGCGGTAGTGCTGCTGGATGAGCACAGCCGCCCGGCGGCTCTGCTGAAAGCGCTTCTGCTCGTAGTAGCTGCGGAACTTGCTCTGGATCAGGATGGCGGCCTGGGTCATCTTCTTATAGAGCGCGAACTGCAGGGTGGGGAGGAGGGAGAGGGGCTGACTAGGAGAGAGGAGGCCAGGCCCCCGAGGACCACCCCCAGGTCAGGCTGATGCAAGTCTGGACAACCTCACACCCAGGCCTCAGGCCTGATACCTTAAGTGCAATCCAGGTCAGCTTGTGGAGAGAGAAGGGGAGTTAGGGCCCGGCAGCCTTCGCAGTGCTCTGGGCCGGGATGGTGTGTGAGGGGTGGCTGCCCACCAGCCTTGCCAGAGAAGGGTCTCACCTGCTTGTACTTGCGGTAACAGCGCTGGATCACAGCCGCTGCCACCTCCTGCTGCTCCTTCAGCCGCCGGCCCTGCGGGGAGGGAGGGAGGCTCAGCACCTCGCCGTCCACCTGGTGGACATCTGATCTGTGCAGCCTTCCTCACTGGGTGACTGACTGCTCTGTCCAAAGGCCCTGGAAGCCCACCATCTCCCTTCACCCAAGGCTGTGTGAGTCACTGTAAGGACCGTGGCCCCGACCTTGTACTTCCGGAAGGCCGTCTGGATGACTCTGGCTGCCTCGTACAGTTCCCGCTGCTCGTGATCCGACAGCGTCAGCAGAGCAAAGTCACTTTCCATCTTGCCACTGGTAGATGCCGAGAGAAATTCTGCCCAGGAGGGTGCTGGGGGGACAGCCAGGCGCCCTCGCTCGAAGGGCAGGTCACTGCAGGGAGCGGGAGAGGAAGGTCAGGGAGCTTCCAGAGCCCCTCTTCTCCCACCCAGGATGGCCGTGAAGCAGCAGCCATCAGCCAGTCAGTTCCCTTCTCACAGGCCCTGGGCCTCAGCCAAGATGGAGCGTTGGCTGTGGGAAGTCTGTTCCCTCCCCTTCATCCTCCCTTTGTAGAAGACTCCAGGGGCTCTGTCTGAACTGGTCACCTGGGAGGGGCTGAGCTGGGGAAGTGGTCCACGTTCTCCAGGTAGCTGGCCAGCCAGGACATGGTCTCGCTGAGCCCCACAGCCCCTGTCCGCTCCCGCATGGAGGCTCCCACGTCAGGCAGCCCCACGAAGTCCTCACGTTTAATCCGCTCTGGTGTGGCTTCAATGATCTGCTTGGCCAATGAGATCATGTCCACCTGGATGAAGGGACAGGCTGGATGAGCCCTGAGGGTCACTCACTGCCAGATGTTCTGTCCTGCCAAAGCTCTGAGTTCTGTTGGCTCCCCATCTGCCTGCTCCTCTCACCACCAGACGCTGAGGCCTCCGGGACTGTGCCTCTGTTGACCCTGTCCCTGGCCACTGTCCCAGACTCATTCATACATACTTACGGGGCTCCCACTTGGGGGTCCTGCTCTGAGAATCTAGGATAGGAAGGGCGTGTTCCAAATGGGGTTTTGGGAGCTGAGCAGGTGAAGAATTTGCTGCCCTTCCATGCCAGTCACCCAGTGCCCTACCTGGGCCTGCCCCCGGCCAGCTGACCAGCACCTTCTACGTCACAACCCCACCCCCTTCAGCTCTCCAAGAACCAGCCTAGTGCTTGCCAACCACATGACAGCCCGGTGACCGGCTCCTGCCAGGCCTTTGTTCCTGCAGCATTCCTCCTGGAGTTCTTTGTTTTGTACTTACACTGCTACCCAAATACCACTCCGTTAGCCTCTCAAAAGCAGGTGTGTCCCCAGATACTAGGAGAAAGGTACATGGCTACACGTGAGGGTTCACTTTTTCTTAGCCTGTACCATATGCACACCTCTGCCGCCCAGGTCACTGCCAGACACTTCTAACCACCCCTGTCACTCCACACATCTCCAAGCTGCCTCCCAAGGGCCTTATCCCTTCATGGACTGACCAGTTACCCCTATAACAGCTCTCCCTGAAGATATTCCCAGAATTTTTATACTCTTTGCTTATGACTTTTGAGTCAGAGTAAAAGGAGCTAAAACATAGGGTTGCCTGGCCTGTCCAAAATGAGAGGAAATGGCTTGTTCTTACCAAACCAAAGCCAGACTCTGATCCTGCTTCGTGAAACAATCTGCCTCCCCCACCCCGCTTCCAGCTCCCAGCTCCCACCACCACAAGCAGTACCGGGATCACATCCACAGCCCGAGTGCTGTCGGCGTCCTCTGGAGCAGCCCCGTCGTCTACAGCTGGCTGCAGGGCGGGAGGGGAGGCTGGAGGCCCTTTGGGGTTGGTGGCCTCGTAGTCCATGAGGAGCAGGGGGGCCTCTGGACCTCCAGAGGAGAGCTGGCCTGGGACCATCTCCACCATTGCAGTCTCAGAGGCTGGCAGAGGACTGCCATCGGGGGCACTAGAATAGGCTGACGTGACGGAGAACGTGCCATCCGACAGCTCCGAGGGTGAGGACACGCTGCTCAGACCTGTGAGGGGAGGGAAGTAGGTGAGGCAGGAGGAGCCAGCAGCCATCCCTCGTCTCCTACCTCCATCCGTGTCCTCACACTCTGTTCTCAGTTCCTGTTACCACCCCCCCATTCTGTCTCCCACTGTTGGACTTTGACCTGTTCTATCCTTGTACCCACATCCTCTCAGAAACACCAGGGGCAGCCCTCACCAGTGTCCGGGCTGGAGGAAGGTGGTGAGAGGGCGAGCGGGGGCTCAGCTGAGGCCTCCTGTCTCTGCAGTTCCTCAAGGCAGCGGGCCAGACGCACGTGACCACGGGAATGAGCCACGGCCAGTGGCAGACGGCCCAGAGAATCGGGAATGCTCAGTGCTTGTCGGTTCCACCGGAAAAGGAGCACAGCAGCTTCCAGGTGTCCCAGGGCGCAGGCCCACATCTGAGGAGCGAGGCAGGACGGGAGAAGGGGGCATTGAGGCTGACCAGGTCTTCAGACCCTGGCCCTCCCCACTCTCCCCTCACCTCCCTCAAAATGTCTTCCCCTTGCAGTACTGTGCCCCTTGCCCACTGCCTGTAGGCGCCCAGCAACCTCACCAGAGGGGTGCAGGAGAAATGATCCACGTTGAGCGGGTCAACCTCTTGCTCTAAGTCCAAGCTTCCAGTCTCCACACTCCTAGGGGGTTTGGGAGGGGGGCAGCAGAGCCCGGTCAGGGAGACAGAGTGGGAGCATTGAAAGAGCAGGGACCTGGAGGCAAGTGTCTAGAAGCCCCAACACCATGGGACGAGGCAGTCAGAGACTCGGGAAGCCCAAGTGTTCAGTGGGTCAGGATATTAAAATTCCCCAAATCGCCAGTCCTCTCCCAGTCCCTCCCCCTCATGGCGATGACACCAGCTCCCCTGTGGCAGGGTTGGGGGTGTCCTCCATCCCAGTGACTGTCCTACCCCCTCCCTGCTGCCCTTGCTCACCGCCACTGGCTCAGGGTCTCGATGAGGCGGGCGTAGCCCTGGGCAGCAGCCAAGTGCAGAAGGCTCATGCCCCGGAAGGGGCTCCCGTGGGCCAGGCGTTCAGGGCCCCTCCAAGTGGAGCGTGGGATCATGCTCTCCACCAAGACCACCACTCGTGCCTCGAACCCGGGCCCTTGGCCTTCATCCTGTGGTATACACACCCTTAGGCATACACCTGGGCATCTGGTTCCTGGGCTTGGGATGGCCTTGGCCACCCTACATCTGTCCTCCCAGCTTCTTGTTCTTGTCACACTTCTCTAGGTTCCCACCACCCAGACCTCTGGCAGCCCACCAGTTGCCCCAGTTCCATTCCTGGGTGGCCTGTGTGTCCCCCACTCCTCCAGCCAGCCTGGCAGCCAGGCCTCACACACCCTTGCCCACGGCTCAGATTACTGCCACGGCCACATGTGGCTCGTCCCCCTCAGGAGCCAGCGTCTTTTCACAGCCTTTCCCTACCTCTCTTCCTCCAGAGACTCAGGACCCATGCAGCTCTGAGCCCCAACTTTCCTGACCCCTTCCCCCACCCTCCCCTTTACCTCCACCCCTCTTCAGACCAGAAATAGTCTGAAGCCTGTCATGCCAAGAGGGTGCCCAGAATAGCCACTCTTGCCACGGGGTGGGGGTGGGAGCAGGATGACATCAGGGAGAGGGAGGAGGCCCGGCTGGGGACGGCTGTGAGAAGAGGAGAGTTGTCCACTAGAGCTGTTGGGTTTAGGCGGCCCTCCTGGGTCTCCCCGCACAGACCACCTCCCTCCCCATGGAATACCTGGATGGGAGGGGCCTCAGGACCCTGGCAAGGCACCTGCCCGGCTGCTGCGATCTCTGCCATCCGCTTCTCCATCTGCTCCAGCCGCTCCAGGATGGACATCCGGAACTGGTTGTCTGAGGGGGCACGGGTATGGAAGGCTGAGCGGGTGGGGCCTGGGTGATGCCCTGAACACCAAGACTGGACCTGTCCCAGGAGCTTGGAGGTGAGGATGCAGAATCATGTTCTGCCCTCCCTGCCCAAATGACTGCCCCTTTACTTGCTCACCTAAACTAAGCCCGCCAGGACTCATCCTTAAACCAGGCTGCTAATAGGACCCATGGATGTAGAGCCAGGATCCAGAACCAAAGCTGTTTCCTTCAAGACACAGATGGTGGGCATTCCCCCAAAGTCCACTCAGACCCCTACCACCCCAAATCACTTCCCTCATGCCTGCCCCCTGTGCTGGCCTTCTCCTGGGTGAAATGTTCCCACAGTTCTTGCCCTAGACGCTACCTTCGTCACCCATGCTGGGGCTGAAGGGCTCCAGGGTCCCTCCTCTTTGTTAACCACTGCCCAAAAGAGCTCAGGGATGGTGGTTTGAAAAGCACCACCCCCTCCTCCCGGCCCCCAGCAGCTGTCCACAAAGAGGATGGCAGGGGAGGGAAGGTGACAGAGATGGATAGCCATGTCCATTCCTCCTCCTCCCCTCAACTCCAAACACACACGCACACACACCCCGAGCTATATTCGGCCCCTCCCAAGATCAAACAGGGATAAGGAGGGGAGGCAGGAGGGCACCGGGGATGGGAAACAAGCACAGAGACACTGGATAGAAAAGGGTGATGGTGCGGAGGTGACAGTAGGGGAGGGAGTTGAGAATGATGAGCAGAAACCAAGGTATGACAGGGAAAGGAGAGAGGACACCAAGATAAAGTGGAGGAGACCAGCTAAAGGATGAAGGTGAGCCGGGGGAATAACAACAGGCAAGGAGAGGGCGAGGTGAGACACTGGCTCGTGAAGAGATGAGGAAGGGGGAGGCCCACAGGAGAGACAGGAAATAAGGCACTGAACAGTCACAGAGCACACGAGAGTAGACGGAGATGCCTGGCGACACCCCGAGGCCAGCAGGCTGCAGTGGTCAGAGACCACAGGCAGCTCCAAGAGCGAAGCAAGGAGGGCCCAGAGCCCTCGGAGAGAAAGAGTAGGGATGGAAGGAAACAGAGGCCGACCAAGAGGGATGACAGCAGAACTGAGAAACCAGACACCTGGGAGAAAAAGCGTGAAGCAAGGCCCAAGACAGCAGCAGGTGCAGACAGTTCTCCAAGTCACAGGAGAGATCACCCAGACTCAAAATGAATACACTACATTCACACACATCCGTGTCCGTGTGTGCATCTGTGTAACACTGGACATCACAACATCACTTCATCAAAATGGCTACTGCTCAATAGTAACACGAAACTTTCCTTTTCTACTTGGTGTTTCTCTAACTTCCAAAGTTTCCATGATGAACATCTGTCTTTATCATCAGGGAAAGAAACAACACATGTCAATGTGCATGTGTGTGTGTTCATATCTGGGCAGGCACAGTAGCTCTAGACCCTGTTCCTGCACTGGCCTCCTGACCTTCCTTGTCTAGATTCCATAGAACTGAGATAAAGAGGGATCTAAGATACACAAGGAAGAGAAGGTGAGGGAGTTGAAAACGCAGCGGTGAAGTGGAGGCTACGCGGTAGCCATGTGCGCCCTGAGGGATCTGGGAGCATGTCATACTCAAAGGTTGTGGGGCCTGACACTTGGGGTCAGAGGGCTAGATACTCACCATCCAGGGACAACCAGTCAAGCTGAGTACTGGGCAGAGATAGGAACCGGCGGGCGCGATATTCAAAGAGCACAGAAGCAGAAAGGGGTCCTTCACGCCCTGCCACCTGCAAAGACACCAGCCCTACCTCATGGGCTGGGGAGGGCAGGATCAGCGAGAGGACCTCTCTTTCCCTGGCTCTTTCTCTGACCACCTGTGTCAGAAGCACAGTCACTCCATATTGGTCTCCCCCACTCCCCTGCTGTGGGCCAAGAGGTCGCTGGCTTCAGAGGTCTGGGCACTAACTGCAAAGGGGGTCCATTCCTTCAGGAACTTCATGCCTTCTATGGGCCAGAGACCCCACTGGATTCTAGCCCTGTCAAGAATGTTACTCAGCGGGGCTGGCACTGTGGCATAGCAGGTGGGGCTGCCGCCTGCAGTGCTGGCGTCCCATATGGGCAATGGTTCGAGACCCGGCTGCTCCACTTCTGATCCAGCTCTCTGCTATGGCCTGGGAAAGCACTGGAGGATGGCCCAGGTCCTTGGGCCCCTACACCTGCATGGGAGACCTGGAGGAGGCTTCTGGCTCCTGGCTCCAGATCAGTGCAGCTCTGGCCATTGTGGCCAATTAGGGTGTGAACCAGCAGGTGGAAGACCTCTATCTTTCTGCCTCTCCTCTGTGTAACTCTGACTTTCAAATAAACAAATAAATCTTAAAAAAAAAAAAAAAGAATGTTACTCAGCCACAAGGTTTGCAAGCTGAGGGTCAAGAGACACCTATGGGCTGGCACTGTAGCACAGCAGGTTAAAGCATGGGCCTGTAGTGCCAGCATCCCATATGGGGACCGGTTTGAGTCCTGCCTGCTCCACTTCTGATCCAGCTCCCTGCTAACGCGATTGGGAAAGCAGTGGAGGATGGCTCAAGTGTTTGGGCCCCTGCACCCACGTGGGAGACCTGGAAGAAGCTCCTGGCTCCTGGCTTGGCCTAGCCCAGGTCTGGTCATTGCAGCCATTTGGGGAGTAAACCAGTGGATGGAAAACTTCTCTCTCTGTCTCTACCTCTCTCTGTAATGCTGCCCTTCAAATAAATAAAAATAAATCTGAGAGAGAGAGAGAGAGAGAGAGAACTAAATGTATGGACAGTTTGATGGTGAATAAATTTTTTGATCAGAGTCTAGAGGTCATGACCCACTACTAAGATGACAGTGGGGGCCAGCACAGTGGTGTAGTAGGCTAAGTCTCCACCTGCAGTGCCAGAATCCCATATGGGTGCTGGTTCGAATCCCAGCTGCTCCTCTTCTGATCCAGCTCTCTGCTAGGGTCTGAGAAAGCAGTAAAAGATGACCCAAGTGCTTTGGCCCTTGCAACTGCGTAGGAGACTCAAAAGAAGCTCCCGGCTCCTGCCTTTGGATTAGCTCAGCTACGGCTGTTGCGGCCATGTGGGGAATAAACCAGCAGATAGACAGACAGACAGAAAAGTCTTCTCTCTCTCTCTCCTTTTCTCTGTAACTCTGCCTTTCAAGTAAATAAATAAAATCTTAAAAAAAAAAAAAAAAGACGAAAGGGGAGCTGGCTGTCCAGGGAGAGCTGTGTCCAAGGGTCTCGATGTCTGTGGCTCTAAGGATGGAACCAGGCTCTGCTCCCATGACTAACGGCTGAGACTTGTTCTCACACCCAGCTTCATTCGTCTCCTCTCCTTTCCTACCATATATGGGTGGACGGGGCTGCCTTGACTGGGGAAGAGTAGTCTCACAGTAAAGACATCCACCTCTCTCTCCCGTGGTCCTTGGGGCCCCCATGGTAAGGCCGACTGTTGAAAGCAGGGTAAGAGGCAGGGTAAAGGCAGAAGGGTGGAGATGGGTGTAGACCAATGCTGTCCAACGGAAGTTTACACAGTGACAGAACTGTCCTAGAACTGCACTATCCAACAGGCTGTGCTGGCCACATGTGCTTTTTGAGCACTTAAATGTGGTCAGTATGACCTGGGAACTGAGTTTTACATTTTATTTAACTTCGCACAAATAGAAACATGTGGTTCAAGGCTACCATATTGGGCATCATAGGTCTAGGGGCAAATGTCCTTCAGAACCAAGACTGGTCAGAGGAGACCTACATCTCCCCCTTGTCATTCTCCCCAGACTGGAATAGCCACACAGCCTAGACAGACATTGGTCAAAGCCCTGACCTACAGGAGAGGTGGCCGAAGACCCAACAGAGGAAGAGAATTATCTAAGGTCGCCAGTTCTGGGACCAGGGCCCAGATCTTCCGACATCCAAGCCCAGGCTCCTCTACCTGCTGGGGGATGCCAGCCTCAGGACTGGGAGAGGTCCTTGTGCTCTCAGAACAACCATTCAGCTCCCAGTGCTGCCTGGGAGCCTGGAAACCCTGATCTGCCTTAACTGTCCACACACAGTCCCTTCCCCTGCCACTCCCAATCTCCATACCAGGACAGTAGCAGCGTAAGACACCAGGCTGGACAAGGGAAGCCGGCACGGCGATGTGGTCGAAGACACAGGAGTAATGCTCGGCGGCCTCTGTCCAAGGACCTGTGATGAGCACCTTGACCCCACCCTGCAGAGAGAAGGCAGAGAGCCACGTGATGGGGTTGGGTGTGCTTCCACTCATCCATTCAGTCATCTGCTCAAACCCTAACAAAGCATCTATCTACTTACATGTCAGGCCCTGTGCTAGAGTCAGGGGGGCACAGGGATGGATCAAGACCCTGTGAGGTGATACCAACTCATCTCCCTCCTCCCCAACCTCCCAGCCCAGTGCTAACCTGGTTCTACCAGAATCTTCTGAATCTGCCAGAAATGGGGAACTCAGGGAGTCTCCCCCAAGGCCATCAGGAGGAAGCCCTGCCCTTGGGCTGATTCACCCACTCTACTTCCTCCTTCCCCTCTCAGAGGAGGCGCAGAACAGAGCTTTACTGCTGGTCACTGTCTCGGGGCTACCCAAGGTCCGCCATCACATCCCTGCAGGGCTCTCTCTTCTCCAGGTTGAACAGCCCCAGGCCTCTCCCCCTGAAAAGTCACTAAGGGAATGAGGCCCCTGGGGAGACACAGAACCACATTAGCTAACTGAAGTTAGTTCCTGTGAGGACACAGGAACAGGGAAGCAGCTATGCTCTATGAAAAAACAGAGCCTGGTGGGGCCGGCACTGTGGGTAGTAGTTAAGCCTCCACGTGTGGTGCCTGCATCCCATATGGGTGCTGGTTCGTGTCCCAGCTGCTCCTCTTCCCATCCAGCACTCTGCTATGGCCTGCGAAAGCAGTAGAAGATGGCCTAAGTGCTTGGTCCCCTGCACCCACGTGGGAGACCCAGAAGAAGCTCGTGGCTCTGGACTGGCGCAGCTCCGGCTAGTACAGCCATTTGGGGAGTAACCAGTGGATGGAAGACCTGTCTCTCTGTCTTTCAATCTGTCTGTAACTCTGCCTCTCGAATAAATAACTAAAATATTTTTTAAAATAAGTTAAAAAAAGAAAAATAGAGCCTGGAAAGAGAACTAAGAAGCCAGGGAAACTAGGCCATAGTCTAAGAGCTGGGAGGTCTCACAGTTTGCTTTGGGGAGTCTGAAAACAGGGCAGAGGAACAAGAGAGAAGACAAGCCCGAGGCTCACCTCTGGGTAGGACCACTCTGGGGAGAAGTCCGTGATGGTGCTGAGTGCAGGCGAGAGCTGGGGGTTTGGGGCAGGGACGCTTGGAGCTTCATCGCTGATGAGTTCTCCCATAAGGTCTGGGAATGACGAAAGACCGAAGGGCTCCAGTTCGCTGGCTGTGCCAGGTCCTCCAAACAAGGCCTCCCCTCTTGCTCCCCTGCCTGCTGGCTCCAAAGGGGCAGGTGAGGGGGGGGACGAAGGAGGAGGTGAAGGTATAGGTGGGGCAGGCCCCTGGCCCTTGAGCTCTTCTCCACTGTCATCATCTTGGATGAAGAAGCAGTTTCCTCTTCTTCCACCTGCTCCTGACTGTGGAGGGGGACCCCGAGCAGCTGCCTGGGGCTCCAGGGCAGCAGCAGGCTCTAGGGCAGGACAAGGGGTATGGGCGGCCTCTGCCTCTGGGAAGTCTGGGCTCACTCCTTGCCCCCCTCCATATGTCTGGCCCCTCTGGGGGCTGTTTAGAAAACGATCAGGGTCAAAGGCAGGGCTGGGAGGAGCCGGTGGGGCAGAAGGCTCAGAGCCCACGACCACAGCCAAGCTCATGGGAGGCCTAGGATCAGCCTGGGGAGCCAAGTGCCTGGTGGGCGTCAAGCCCCCAGCACGCTGCTCCAGTCCCGTCAGGAGGAGGATGGCAGTGCCTCCTCTCGATGAACCCCCTCGAGAGGTGGGAGGGCTGGGTCTGACTTCTAGGGGTTCAGCAAAGCCTGAAGAAGAGGAGGAAGTGGAAGAGGAGGAGGAGGAGGATGGGGAGGTGTGTGCCTTGGGGAGCTCTGGGGGAAGTGGAGCTATCAGGGGAGGAGGCTCAGGAGGGTGAGGGTGGGGGATAGAGGTCAGGGTTAAAGCTCGGGGCTCCACTTTGGGAGAGATGATGCGGTGTTTCGTGCTGCTGCATTTGTGGGTAAGGCTCCCAGAACCTGGAGTGGAGAGGGATAGAGAGGAGAGAAGGGGTTAAGAACCGTGCTTCTCCAGACTTCCTTTCCCAGAAGCCTTTACAAAGTTATGTCTTGGGACCTTCCTGTAAGCCAGAGGTGTAGTACTGATTGTGGCCACTGGGAGGCATCAGAAATGCCTTCCACCAACCACCCTACTTCCCCTCAAAACAGGACTGGAGGACAGGACTGGAGGAACAGTGCAGGGGAGGGCTGCGGGGAGGCGCTGAGAGCAATAGGCAAATGCACAGAAAAAGGACAAAGGAACAGAACCAAGAGGGTACCAACAGAACAGACTACAGCTGCTTTTAATTGATGGTGCAGGGACAGGTATGGTTAAAGGTCAGAAAGCACAGATGTAGACTGACGGGAGCTGGGGCCAGTGTGTGCCCAAACGGGAAGGCCTCTGTTCATCTGGCCTTTCTGGGTCATGCAAAGGACTTGAAAATCAGCATGCAAATTCCAGCCAGGCAGATCAAGACAGATATCCCCTGGTTGGAGAAAGCGCAGTGTATCTAGACAGCAAGAGGGCTTCAGGGTCAGGGGGTAACTCACCAAGGCCCCCACTGCAGAGACAGGCATGGGTTCGGGGTGCAGGCTTGGCTGGGTGGGTATCCAAGATCTGCTGCACCAGCTGTTCCACAGAGAACTCATCTGTTCCATTCCCACAGCTCCACTTGATGCCATGGACTGGAGGAGAGTCAGAGGGAGTTGCTGTGGGACTCCCACAAAATAGCCCCCAAAACCTTGAAGTCTCCTTCAAGCACCTAACTTGCTCCAAGACCTCTGGTCAAGCAAACAGGCCAGCAGCCTCAAGACTGCTCAGATGGGGCCAGTGTTGTGGCACAGTGGGTTAAGATGAACCTCTGACACCAGTATCCCAGATGAGCTCCAATTCGAGTCCCAGCTGCTCCACTTTCAATCTAACTCTCTGCTAATGCTCCTGGGAAGGCAGCAGAAGATGCAAGTACCTGGACCCCTGCCACCCACAGAGGAGACCCGGATGAAGTCCCAGGCTCCTGGCTTCAGCCTGGCCCAGTCCCAGTTGTTGTGGCCATTTGGGGAGTGAACCAGAGGATGGAGGATCTCTCTTTGTCTCTCCCTCTCTCTCTGTAACTCTGCCTTTCTAACAAATAAATAAATAAATCTTAAAAAAAAAAAAAAACGCTCAAGCACTTTCCCCTTGGAGCTCTATCCTGGCCTTGCCGCCTTACACATGGGCTTCAGCTGTCCCAACAGCTCCTCCCGGGACCACTTCAGCCACTCTCGCCGGTCGCTGCTGATGGAACAAAAGATGGGGCTGCAGCCCTTTCCACAATCCTCCAGGGCTGGGACGTTCAGGTAGTGCACAAGGACGATGTCGGGGTTCTGGGAGGGCAAGGGAACACACAGCCATGGGGTTCTGGAGGCCACAGGCTCAGCTTCCTAGACCTTACTTTCTTCCTGGGTACCCCCCAGCCTGCCGCCCCCAATTTCAGGCTCTCTCCATCCCTCTCCCCAGAGCCTTTCCCTGCTGGGAACCTAATCATCCTTCCACTTCACCCTTTCAGACCCCAAGTCCCTGAGAGAGTCAGGCAGAGTCCTTACCTGGAGCAGCCAGTAGCAGCGCCGATGGAATGTGGGGACGATGGAAGAGTGAACGTAGCAGCCATAGAGACACTGCCAGGAGACAGGCTGGGGTGGGGGGAGGGCTAGTCTGCTCCCCAACTCTTCCTCTGTTCAGTCCCTTTGCAGGAATCCCAATCGTTCCACCAGTTCCTCTTCAACCTCCTCCCCACCCCCACAGAATCCCCACCCCTTTCAGATCCCAGCTGCCAGAGAATGGGGAACAGTGGGGCCGGGCCCACCGTTTGGGTCCGGGATTTGAGAAATGGGACTATCTAGAAGCCCGAGGGCAGAGAAGAATGCATCTGAGATGAGAGGCAATGATTTGGGGTGGAGAAACCCATGCTTAGAGCATTATTGCTTGGACCCTAAAGGAAATGCAAGAGAAGCGAGGGGGCTGGGCCTCCAAGACCAGGACGGCAGGGTCAGGAGGGAGAATGGGAAGCAGAGAATGGGCTGAGTGAGTGAGAAGGGAAGAGTGAGTGGGAGGCAGCGAGGCAGGGCCAGGTCCAGCCGAGGGTGGAGGGGCGGGAAGGGCGAGGGGCTGGATGCCCGGCTCTTACCTCCATGCCCTGGACCTTGAGCTTCATGTGGTCCTCGCGTGTGGTCTTGCCATCCTTCCGCTTCTTCCACAGGTAACCATCCTTCCGGTACTTCACCTTCTTGCGGTTGTACAGGATGATGGAGCCGTTCTGAGGCCTGAGGAGGGCAGGGGGGGCCTCTGGTTCTGTGAACAGAGACCAGGGCCCCGCCCCGCCTCACCTTGGGGCGCTGCCTCACCTTGTCTTTGGGGCACAGGACAGCCACTCATCGTGCTTCTCAAAGGTGATCAGGTAGGATGCAATCTCCTGCAGGAGAGGAGGCACTCAGGCGCGCAGCCCTTCTCCTGGTCACCCCTCAGGGCCTTACTCTGCTGAGGCTGTGTCCTGAATGTCCTGAACCCGGCGAGGCCGCTGCTTCCCCAGGAGTCTCAGGTCCCACCTCAGACAAAATTGAACCTTCTCTCCTACGCTTCTCTTGAGTGGAGCCTCTCTCTTGGGGCCAGGTCCAAGTTGCTCTTCGTCTCCTCCCCAGCCCCCATTTTACACACTGTGTATTATTTTACTCTCCCCCCATCCCAAGTTTGTGCCCCTTCAATGGTTTCACACTGCTAGGAATTCAAGACTTTTTTTTCTCAAAAAGGGATCAAACAATCTTTCTGTTTATCCATATTGCATGTAGCATTCCTGCCAGGTGGGGGCCGCTGGCTGCTCCCCTCACAGTCACTTCTGGCCTGTTTGTGGCCTACAAGCCTTTAGGGCCACAGGCACACCTCCTGTGTCTGGAAATCCTGGCCCTGTAAGCCACACCCCTTCCCAGAAGCTCCAGAGACCCGAGGAGCACCCTGGCCCCTCTGCTGGAGGCTCTACGGCACTTAGCAGTCTCATCCACACACACCCTCTTTTACAGCCAGTTCTAACAGAAGCCAATGATTATCGACCACCGACTACATCCAAAGCACTGAGCAGTTTAATACAAGGACTGTGCTCTCCAGAAACAGCCAGTAAAAAGCAAGGGCTCTGGAGCGTTAGATAAACTTCAGCACATGAGGGAAATCAGTTTCCTCACAACAACGTGAGAGGAGTAACAGTGCCTGCTCTGTAGCATCTGCAAAGAACTAAAGGAGATCCATGCAGGTCAAGCGCTCACTTGGCACAGTGCCTGGTATGGAAGAAAGACTGTCGAGGCCGTAGCTGTGGTTTTTACCCACGCTGGACACGGCAAGGAGAAGTGGGCTCCCACAGGTTCCCTGCCTTTGGGGCTCTCCCATGTCTCCTGAGAGCCTAGAACAGTCCTCTGCACCCGGGAAGACCCCCACTCGCCCTCCTCCCGCCCCCCAGGCCTTGCTGGACCCGCCTTCCCCAGGCTCCCGAGAAACCTCGTTTGTATTCCACCGTAGCCGCTCTGGAGGCAGCAGCGGGCAGCGAGGAAGACACTCCAGCAGCTTCTTGGGGAGAAAGATCTTCAGGTGGCGGCTGTTCTCTGAGGGAGTTGGAAGGGAGGGCTTCGTAAGCCAGCCCGGCGTCCCTGTGAGGGTCGGCCCAGAGTGTGGGGGAAACAGAAACCAAGGAGAGCAGGGATCCCCAGTGCAGGGACAACAGGGGGCTGTGAACTCACCGGCAACCTCGGTGGTGTCCTTGGTATTCATGGTGAGGGCTCCAGGGGGCAAGGTCACCCCCGGCCTGAGGGGCCGGGGGGAGGGGGAGTCTGTGCTGGGAAGGGAGAGAACAGGTCATGGCAGAAGCCTCTACATCATTAATCCAGGGTGAAGAGCATGAGGCGGGGTGGGGTGGAGTGCAGAACTAGGTCGTGACACCAGGGAAAGATGAGGGAGAGAGAGGAAGGGTCGTGACTATGTGACAGCCATACGTGTGCGGGGAACGGAGGTGAACCAATGTGAGTAGGAGACAGGACAGAATGGCCTGACCAGGAAAAACTGGGGAGGGTGGGGGAAGGGAGAAGGCTGCCGGGGCTGGGGTCTCAGAGGCCCTACAGCTAGGGCTCTTGCAGCCACTGGGGCTGCTGTGGGGTCAGGCCCTGGGAGGAGGGACTCCGGGCACCAGGTCCTTGGAGGATGGTTTGGCCAGAGAGCCTGGATGCTGGGGGAAGGGCAGGAGATTGGAGACAGTGGAGAGCTAGGCCTTAGAAGACACGCCCTGAGTTCCTTCTCTATTTGATTTTTCCAAGGGGAAGGGCAGATCTGATAACCGGTACCAAGCTACTCTCCCTCCCCCAGATTGGTCAGGCCCTGGTAGGATCTGGGTTAGACACCCACAGCTTAGCTTCCGGCTCTCAGGATGACCGCCTGCCCCAAGGCTGACAGTCCTCTCCACACTCCCCCTACCCAAGACCCCTTTTCCCCAAACGCCTCTGCCTCCCCGGGGCCTCCGGGCCTACTCCTTCCCCATCTACGCTCTGGCTCCAGCCTGAGCCCCCGCCCTCCTCGGGGAACAGATGGGAGCCGGAGGAGGCTCTCGGCGCGGGCTCGCCAGGTGTCCGGGATGCAGAGGGGGAGGAGGCCCGGCCGAGCTCGAGCTCGGCTGTGTGCAGCGAAGCTGGGGTTGGGGCAAGGACTCCGCCCCGGGGCGCAGGTGCGCAGTCCCGACTGGGCAGCCTGCCAGGGTGCGGAGCCGGAGCGGGTCCTGGGTGTGGGTCCGCGGGCGGCGCTGGACCCTGACACCCGGAGCAATGGGCGGCCCCCTACGGCGGGGTGGAGGTCTCCGGGGAACCTCAGAGGTGAGAGGGTCTCCCCGCATAGAGGATGTTCAAGGGAAGCCGCGGAACAGAGTCCGCGGGCGCGCTGGGAGTCGGGTGCGGGGTCCCCGGGACGGTCCCCGGCACGCTCAGGTCCGCCGTGGGGCCCTGCGGCGAGCGGCGCCCCCTGGCGCGGGGGAGGAGGACGGAAGCGGGGAGCGGGGGTGAGCCGGGAGGAGGGACGGTGGTCCCCGGCGCGGCGCTGCACGTCGGGAACGGGTGGAGCTGCGCCCCCTGGCGCGGGGGCGGAGAGGCGGGCGAGAAGCCCTGGCTCTTACCTCCCGGGGTCCCGCGGGTGACGGCGGCAGCGGCCATTCTACCCCTCACCGACCCCCCCCAGCGCCGGCTGACAGCGGCGTCCGACGTCACTGCGCACGGGGCGGAGCCTCCCAATTAAGGGGATGGGGGTCGGGAAGGGAACCTGGGGATCAGCACACGTGGGGTTCTGGGTGGGGCGCTGGGCGGAGGGACCCGGCTTCCCGGGCCCGCAGCCAGGCCGAGGGGACAGATCGCTGGGAAGTCCCTGCAGGGACAGGCGCGCTGAGGGGACGGGTTCCGGGGTCCCGGAGGCGGAAGCTCGGCCGACGGACGTGACTCCCGGTCCCGGAGAATGGGGTGGGGGCGGCGGTGCAGTGCTGGAACCCGAGGGGCTGGCGAGGGACCGAGGACGGACCCAGGCCGAGCTCCTGGGAGCTGGCCCTGGAGAAGCGAAGGAGCGCCCCAGCCCTCAGTCCCCGCGTCAGTGCACAGAGAGGACGACGACGCTGGCTCCATTTGCTTGCTCTTTAATAACGCAACAGAGAGAATATGGGCTCGGGGCGTTTTCGTGGGCAGGGCAGGTGGGCGTGGGAGTGAATGGCTCAGAGGACGGGACAGGGCTCCGTGCTGGCCGCGGAGGCGATCGCGATGACCTGGGCCGGGGCCGCAGGCAGCACCAGCATCCTGGGCACAGGTGCTTTCCGCTTACTCCTCAGACTCCAGCTCCACCCCCCAGGGGCGGTTAAAGGGGCTCCTCCTGGCTGTGGCAGTGCTGAAGGGGGCCAGAGAGCTCCACTGCCTGGAGGAGCACGACACCTCCTGGCCCAGGGGACTCCAGGGAGACCAAAGCAGCTGTAGACGACAGAAATTACAGGGGAAAGGATGGGAGAGGAGGCTCAGCGGATTTGCTGGTCCCCAAGCCCGGGTACCCGTCTCCAGCTCTCACCAAGTTTGTTTTTCTTCTCAAACTAGCGCTCCCACCTGGCTCTTGGCTTCTGCTGTCTCCACGCAAGACCGAGGACTCACACCAGCCTCCCCCGCCCCCCAGTCATACCTGGGCACTGTCAGGAGCGAGGCCGTGGTCCTCTTCCAGTTCAGAGTATCCCGCGGTGCTGTGGAATCCACAGCCCTCTCCTTCCAGCACCAGGGGCTCGGACGCAGCCCCAGAGCTGCCCCACTGGCCCCTCTTCAGCCTGCGGAGATGGCATTTAGGAGATGGCCAGGCTTCCGGCCTCTAATCTTCACTGAAACACTGACCGCTGGGACCCAAGGCACTGCCTTTGACCTTCAGCTCTGCACCCGCAGCTCTTCTCATCTAGGACTGCAGTGTGCTCACTCCAGGGACCCAGCAGTGACCCCAGAGCATCCCACACCCGCCAGTTCTATGGTGTATTTTCCTGTCTGGTGATCCCGTTTCCACCCCTTCCACCTCCTGGGGCTCAGCCTCCATCCCTCAGTTCCCTCTGTCTTTCCACATTACAAAAATCCATCCCATTTGGGGCCAGAGTTTTGGCTTAGCAGGTTAAGCCACTGCCTGCAATACCAGCATCTCATATGAGTACCACTTGGAGTCCCTACTGCTCCACTTCCAATCCAGCTCCCTGCTAATGTGCCCACCACCCACGTGGGAGACCTGTGGATGGAGTTCCAGGCTCCAGGCTTCAGCCTAGCCCAACTCTGGAAGATCTGTCTCTCCCTGTTTGTAACTCTGCCTTTCAGATATATATATATATATATATATATATAAACACAAACATTTTGATTGCACCAAACCCACAGCTCCTTCCCAATTTCATTCCTTGAAAGCTCTCAACCCCTTCCTTAGCTCAACACAGCCTGCACCCAAACCCTACTTGGCTCCCAGAGCCCACTGTCTGGCCTCCTTACTCATTGATGGTTCTCTGACGCTTCCTTATGTCCTCCAGATGATAAGTGACAGCCCTGACCCGGGCAGGGATGCTCCCAGGTCCCTGCTGCATTCGTTCCAATTGTGGCCTCTTTCTCTTTCTTCTGCAGAGCACCTCAGGGGGTAGAAGTCCTTCCGGGGGGTACAGGCCAGGATGAGAGCAACCAGTGGCTCTCTGTGCCAGACAATGGAAAAGGAGATAAAGGAGAGAACTGGGTCTTGGGAGAGCTTGAACTGAATTAGGGAGCCAAGGATCTTGGGAAGTCTAGCTTTGATCTGGAAGACCCTCTTGCATCCCAGCAGGAGGTATTTCAGAGCAGACAGAACAGTGACAAGAAACCTGGAGTCCAGCCCCTCTCTCCTAAGTCTAAAGTCTCCACAGAGTGAGGAGAGGAAGGCCTGGTCAGCGCCCTTGTTGGTGAACACCAGAGGGAAAGGTCATTAGGAGCTGAAGACAGGTGGGAGAGGGTGCACAGTTAACAGAGAAGTGCTGAAGGGCAGACTTTGTCATACCAGCGTGGGCGGAATGTACTTTTCCTCCATCCAGGTGGGACTGTGAACACAAAAAGGGGGCTAGGGTCAGAGGGGACATGCTCCATACATATTCCTCTCTGATGAGTTCTTCCAACCACCTTTCTGGCACTGGGGGCTAAAATGTCTGTCAGCCGGTAGGAAATTCTGCCCAGGCCTGATTGGTGTAAGAATTTATGGTAGTTAAAAATTATACAGTCTGGGATGGCCATTTGGCTTAGTGGTTAAGATGTCGCTTGGAGGGGCCAGCGCTGTGGTATAGTAGGTTAAGCCTCTGCCTGTGGTGCCAGCGTCCTATATGGGCACTGGTTCGAGTCCCAGCTGCTCCACTTCTGATTCAGCTCCCTGCTAATGTGCCTGGGAAAGCAGTGGAAGATGGCCCAAATGCCTGGGCCCCTGCACCCACATGGAAGATCTGGAAGAAGCTCCTGGTTCCTGGCTTCAGATAGGCTCAGCTCCGGTTGTTGCAGCCATTTGGGGGAGTGAACCAGTGGATGGAAATCTCTCTCTCTCTCTCTCTGTCTCTCCTTCTCTATGTTTGTAACTCCACCTCTCAAAAAAATAAATAAATCTTTAACAAATATATGTTGCTTGGAATGTTCACATCAGTTGGCTTGGGTTAGAATCCTGGCTCCACATCTCTCTCTCTCTCTCTCTTAATAAAGATTTGTTTTCTTATCTATTTATTTAAAAGGCAGAGTGACAGAGATTGAGAGAGAGAGAGAGAGAGAGAGAGAGAAAGAATCTTCCATTGCTGGTTCACTTGCTTAATGTTTGCAACAGGCAGGGCTGGGCCGGGCCAGAGCCAGGAGCCAGGAGTCAGGAACTCCATCCTGATCTCCCAGGATGGGCAGGGACTTAAGTATTTGGGCCATTTTCTGCAGGTTTCCCGGCAGCCAAGACAGGAACCAATGCTCTGATACAGAGTGCTGGCACTGCAAGTGGTAGCTTAACCTACTGAGCCACAGTGCTGGCCCCTGGCTCCACTTTTTTTTTTTTTTAACGATTTATTTATTTGAAAGGCAGAGTTACAGAGAAGGAAAAATAGGCAGGGAGAGAGGGGGAGAGGGAGAGATCTTCCTTCTGCTGATTTACTCTCCAAATGGCTTCAGGAGCTTTATCTTGGTCTTCCATGTGAGTGCAGCCAACTTGGGCCATCTTCTGATGCTTTCCCAGGTGAATTAGCAGGCAGACAGATAGATTGGAAGTGGAGCACCCAGGACTCACACCGGCACTCATGTGGGATACCAGCATTACAGGTGACGGCTTAATCTGCTGTGCTATAGTGCCTGCCCTGACTCCACTTCTGATCCCAACTTTCTGTCAGCAGGTGATGGCTTAAAAACCTGGGTCCCGGGGCCACTTTGTGGCAAAGCAGTTAAAGCCGCTGCCTGCAGTGCCCACATTCCATATGGATGCCAGTTCAAGTCCTGGCTGCTCCACTTCTGATCTTGCTCCCTGCTAACATGCCTGGGAAAGCAGAGGAAGCTGGTCCAAGTCCCTAGGCCCCTGCATCTACGTAGGAGACCCAGAAGAAGCTCCTAGCTCTTGGCTTTGGATCAGCCCAGCTCTGGCCATTGCGCGCTCGCTCGCTCTCTCTCTCTCTCTCTCTCTCTCCCTCTCCTTCTGCTTCTTTGTAACTCTGACTTTCAAATAAATAAATCTTGAAGAAAAAAAAAAAAACACTTGGGTCCCTGCAACCCATGTGGGAGATCCGATTGCATTCAGGACTCCTGGCTTCAACCTGGCTCAGTCCCAGCTGTTTCTGGTATTTGGAGAATGAACCAGTGGATAGAAGCTGTCTCTGTCTCTCTGCCTTTCAAATAAAATGAAAATAAATAAATAAAAATTTAAAAATTGTACAATCTTACCTTCCCACCCACTTTATCCTTCTGTACTCACCTGGGCCTTTGACTAAGGTTCTCCCAGAAGACATCTCCGTAACGCTGGGACATCTCCAGAACCCTGGGTGAAAGGTTCTGGGAAGGTAAGCTGGGCGATGGAGATCGGCTGACCACCCTGGAACACCTGAGGTAAGGACAAAGTAGGCTTGGGCCTGGTTCTTCCCTTACCCAAGCATTCCAGGTGCTCATCCTTTCCATGGGACCATGCAGGTTCCCTCAGGCCATGTCCTCTCTCTGCATTTTAGCTGAGAAAGTGAGGACTTCAGTATGAAAGATTAGAACTAAGGTGGGGATGGAGACTGGCTATTGTTTGAGCCTCAGATCTCACTGGAGCTCAAGCTTCTATACCTTATAGCCTTATTAGCAAGCATGGTTGTCAAAGAAGAGGGTCCTGGCCACACAGGGTGATGTGACATGTTCCTTTAGGTCTATGCAAGGATCCACAAGAGAGAACTCTTTACTCCTACTTTGTGTCCCCATCTCAGAAGTACTAACATTCTGGTAGATAGGGAGGGGTATACAGAGCTTTTTGAGAACAGTGCTCACCACTTCCAAAGTCCCCAGCTGAGTAACCTCTAGGAAGTAGAGTGTTCTAGGGCTTAGACCTGGAGCCCTTTATCTGCTCTGTCTCTCCTTAGATGACCTCACCCAGTCCCATGACTTTAAATGCCTCCAATGTGCTGATGACTTCTAAATCTCAATTTCCAGCTCTGGTTTCCCCCTCGGCATCTGCTCCCCAGGCTTCCCAACCCCAAAACCCACTTGCTTGGGCCCCAAAACCTACTATGTATTTACTGTCCCTCATCTCCCATAGTCAGTTTACCAGCAAGTTCACTT